CACTTTTTGCTATATCAGCACAGAATGTAAAAGGAGAAGCAGGCTACAGGAAGGGAGACTGGAGTCACGCAAATGGGGTCCACTCCGAAATCTGTGGCCCAGAGGGATGGCTTTATCTTTCTTCTTGCTAAGGCCAGCTCTACAGAGTGCTGAGGGACTGCTAAATTGCTTTGACTGACAGGCCTCTGGTTAGCTGGCAGCCCTTCAAGCCAGAGTTCCTGAGACAGCTCTCATTTTGTGTTTCAGCATTTCTTACCCCCATATGCCGTGTTTCAGCATGTGCTAATTCCCTGCCAGTCCGCACAAGTGACAGGGACTGGCACAGAATCAGTTCATGCTCTGTCCTGCTGACGTCTTGTGCTCTCGAAGGGATGATGCCAAAGGAGAAATTCTCACCGTTGTTGCTATTTCAATGCACACAGTGCTTTACAGAGAACAAGAGCAGCTGACTGCTTTTCCTCATGGCCGGGGATGCGCACTATACTGTCAAGCATCAGAAGCACAGAAAACATTCATGGGGATGAGCCCTTGGTAATGCCACAGGGCAAGCTGATCTCTCACATGCCTCTTGGAAGCGCAAAACCTCAGTTCACACAGGCTGCGACACTGAAATGAGTGTGTCAATTGAGCCCGTACAGGGCAGTGAGGCCATTGATCATGTTACCACTTGAGTGCTGCAGTGTGTGGATAGCATGTAAGGATGAAGAGGGATATTCACATTTTATTTATGTTCTGCTTTTTTCCACAATGGAGACCCCAAGCAGCTTACATGATCATTATCCCCATCTCCAGTTTTGCCTCATAATAACCTTGTGAGGTACATTAGGCTGAGAATGTGACTGGTCTAACCCAGTGTGCTTCCATGGCAGAGCACTGATTTGAACCCGAGTCTCCTAGATCATGGTACATCATGTATTATACATTTGTTCATAATATATTGGCCAATATAAATACTAATGCCATACATCAATTGGCTAATAATAATAAACCAAAATACATGCTGATAAATCTACAACCTCAAGAGGTTTTTTGCAATGCAATCCCAAACAGGTCTGTTCAGAAATAAATCCCACAGTTCAGTAGGATTTAGTCACAGGTAAGTGTGAAGAGGGCTGAGGCCCAAGGCATGCCTATGGGCTTTCTCATGCACAGGGCCTTTCATCCTCCCTTTAAAGTCCAGAAAAGGCCCCGAGGATGTGTGTTTCTGTGGATGTTATTCCTTTTCCCAGAATTAAATACATTAAGATCCAGGCATGGGAAGGTAACAGTATGATAAAATAATATAGCTATATTAATAAAACACCCCAAGCATAGGAGCTTTATTTATACTATTTATAGTCTGCCTTTCTTACTGAGTCCCAAGGTGGGTTACAGTGCAAGTCAATACAATCACTTATACTGTATGTCTTTAATGTACTTTTATAATAGAAAATAAATAACCAATACAAATAATTAAAAAATTACTAGTGATCAAGTTTTGTTTTATTTGGAAACGTCACTACATAATATATGGCTTGGCCGAAAAGCAGCCAGGCAGCAACTTTCTCAGCCACCTGTATCTGAGAAAGGGAGCTTTGACTTTGCAACCCTGCGAAAATCTTGTTGATAGTTACGGTGCTACTGGACTCGAATCTCGCTTTTCTTAATACCAAACCCATCACCTAAAACACATTCGCGGCCTCATTGTGGTCCACAAAATTCCACCCTATCCATGTTTGCACGGAAGCCAATCCCATTTGGAGCGAACTGTATTTAGGAGCAGGTGTGCTGAATCCAAATACGCCGCTGGCATTCGTTCACGGAGCGAGTCCCACGTAATTGGGTAGAATATCGCACGCCTGCGATCCTATGCATTTACTTGGTAGCAAGCCTAGCTGAACGGGGTCGGACTTTCGTTCGAGTAAGCGCTCTAACTCAGGGGCGCGGAAACAGCTACCGCTTAGCTGTCCCCATTCAGTGCTCACAAAATGCTGCTCATGGCTTATACGGCTGTAGGAAGCCAGAAGGACTACTTCCGCCCTTAGTTCCTGGCGCTTTTCGAGCTAGCAGGCCGGTTGCCCTGGACAACCAGGAAGCGAAGCGCTGTGTGTCTGCAGGTCTCGCCGCTCTCTTTGTCCCCTGCAGAGCTCGGCTGATCTCCCTTTGGGGTGAGTAAACGCGGGGCTTTGCCATCAAGGAGGCCGCCGTCTTCCTGAAGCCTTTGCCGTCGGCACAACTGGATGCCCTGCGCAGGAGCGCTGGAGGCATGTCACGAAATGTACTTCGGCGTCATGTAGGAGATGTTGGCCGCGATCCTGTGCACGTGAATCTGGAAGTAAACGCCGTGGAACTTTATTTATCGATTGGATTTATTCATCGCCCAATCCCTGCTATTGCCAGGGCTCTGGGCAATGTGCAATACCCATAAGACACAACCAGATAAAATCATTAAAACATTTAAAACTTCAGAGTACATGTGCACAGGCGTGCGTGGACAACGTCCCATGAGCAAAGCAAAACCAAGGCTTATATACCTTCTGGTTCCCCCCCCCCCGCCCCCGGGAGGTATAAGGGTGCAGGCAGTTGCTTCATAGTGATAGTTATGCATTTTAAACCTACCCTTTCTGGAAGGAGCGGAGTCATAATTCAATTCCTCCAATTTATCCTTACAACCAACCTGTGAGGTAGATTTGGCTGAGGGAGAATGGCTGTCCCAAACTGCAAAGCTTGGATACTATTTTGAGTCGTTTTAGTTGGTCCTGATAAGGTGTGTTAGGTAGTGTTTTGTTTTGGGATATTGCTTTGGACCCTGGGGTTACATGCAACCTCATTCTACTATGAGGACAGCTGAATTTATTCAATAAAGAGGGGAAATTTTCAAGTGGAGAACAATTAGTGTGGGGAAAGACTGTGCTTCCCCACCCCAACACAAAATAACATGATCCAGTTTGGCTTCCATTGATTCTTTTTGTTTTTGTGCGTTAACTGAAATCTTCAGTATTGAAAGTACAGTGACTAGTATGTTCTCCCTCTGCTGTTGACCTTGTAAGGGACCCATGTGTTTCATTTGGCTCTAGAGACCCCCCCCCCCCCCCATTGGCCTGACCTCTTAAGGAGCAAGAAGGAAGGCTGTGTAGCTGAATGGTAGCAAGAGACCCCCTCCCCCTTCATCTATGAGATTGTCAGACACTTCCAAGTGAAGTTGCTAGGAGCAATCGTCTCCCATGATGAGTGTTTGGGAGAGAAAGTGTAAATTTGTGAAGACATACAGCCCAATTGAATCTGTGTTTCCTTAGAAATAAGTCCCAGTGGATCTTCCCCTAAGGTAAGTAGACATGAGATTGTATTCTTAGGCTTGTATTGGGTTACTGTTTCTATCCCAGCCTTTCACATAAAATGTTCAAGGCTCACAATAACATACAGCATTACATAAAAACTGCTAATAAGAAAAACCAAAAACCCATTAAATCATAAAACATGCCATTAAAGCAGCAGTGCCACCATCTGCTACAACAATCACCTCAGTTATTATCATTGTTTTTTTAAGTGAGGTGGTTGTATTAATAAGATTGCTTTGACTTTATTTATTTGGAACATTTGTATGCTGCCTTTCCACCAAGTTCAGGGTCCCCAAGGCAGCAAGCCGTTCATATTAAAACATGTTTTAAATTCATATATATTTTTATTTATATAAAATAAAAACATAAATGTATGGACACCAATGTTCCCTCTAAGCTGAGTTAGTCTGAGCTAGCTCACAGTTTTTTGTCTTAGCTCAGGAAGGATGGCTCCGGAACAAACTAATTTATGCAGCAGTCAAGTCGCTCACTCACAACTTCAATGCCAGTAGCTCACAAAGTAGAATTTTTGCTCACAAGACTCCATAGCTTAGAGGGAACATTGATGGACACAGGTGTAAAAACACATGAATAGGAAGGAGGAAATGCTGAACAAAACAGGAAAGTCTTCACTGGGTGGTAGAAGACAGTAATAGAAGATGACAACCAAATCTGCCCTAGGTGGGGATAATTTTGGTGCCACAACTGAGATGCCTTCTTTTATTTATTTGATTCATTTGTACCCCATCTTTCTCCCCAATGAGGACCCAAAGCAAGGCAGCTTATACCATTCTCCTCAATTTTATTCTCACAAGAACCCTGTGAGGTAGGTTAGGTTGAGAGTGTGACTTGCCCAAGGTCACCCAGCAAGCTTCTATGGCACGAGTGGGGATTTGAACAAGACTGGAGTGCTGTTGTCTGTACTGCTTGTAGCTTTTGAACATTGTTCAAGGGAGCCTTATGTAAACTGCATTGCAGCAATCTAATGTAGAGGCTAGCAGGGTGTACACCACAGTGGCAAGATCTTTGCCTCGGAACCTATAAGAGAATAAAGTTGGTGCCAAGGGAGGGAGTTTCACAACTGAGGCACCATGACAGAAAAAAGTCTTCCTCCAGCAGCCCCACACCTAAAGGGAGAGGAGTATCCTGAGGAAGAGGATCTCAGAAAAGGAATGGTTTCTCAGCAGGGAGCAAGAGGCCCAGGACCAGTTACCTTGAGGTGTATAGTGGTGGGAATACCCATACTCAGTTGAGTTGCTACTTCCTTTTCTTCTAACAAGAGATAGTCAACGGAACGTATGTAGGCACCAGAGCTATCACAGCATCTGCCTGATGGGAGGACTGAGACTGATCTCCCCTCCCTCTGAAAAAGTAGCTGTCCCACTCTTGTAGGCTGGGTGTGGGCTTGCCTCTTGACCCTCCCCTTGTACACATTGTTGGCTTTTGTGTTCGTTTTGTAAATGTCTGGCACCTGTTTCCATATGTGGTTGCTATCACAGGATTGGTACAGTGGAGTTGGAAAAATAAGCCGTTTAGACAGTTCTGTTAGAAACCAAGATGTTGTATCTGTGTTACTCCCCCCCCCTCCCAGTTTCACCTAATTTTTCTTTATTTATAATCTCTTAATGGTTTTGTTTGGCAGTAGTGTTCTACCCTTAAGTCCTAGAAGACCATGGACCGACATGTTCCTGTGCATCCATTACCGGAGGAATTACAGAAGGTATGCTACAGTGGAAAAACTTGATGTCATTCTGCTTTTCATACTAACACGATCAGTGTAATTGCACTGACATCAATATAGAATGGTACGGTTGCTGGTTTCTTTGCAGTTTATTAATGTGCCTAATTAACTGCATTTGCCCTGGTACTAATATTTGCACATAGCCTGTGTGTATACATTGTTCCTCTTGGAAGTGTGGCATTCAGTTTTTTTAAAAAAAGTTATAATTTGTGCGATGAAAATCAGTACAGACTCTTAACAAATCTGACGCAGCACTGAAACTGGTGGAGAAGGGTAATGACCTTGAAATGGAAAAGAATGGGAGTTACCAAATTTAGTTTCTGCTGAAAGATGATAAAAAAGGAAAGGCTCTGAAATGAGGGAGGTCGTTTGGGGCCACTCAAATCACAGAGTTTGTTCCTTTTTAATGAGGTACTTTTCCTGGGAAAACCCTGAAGTTTAATGCTAAATATTGCCAGGTTACAGAAATACAATGTGGACCATATCATAGTTAGCTGCTGGAGATCCAGTAAAAAAATAAATAAATCTGGTTTGTATGCAACCCGTGGGTGGGAGAGCCTTGGTTTATATGAATATATTAGCATAGTATGTACACTTCTCATGTTACCAGTTTTCTGTTTCAAACTCCAAAGACAATTAACTTGTGAACTGGTGCAGAACGCAGCAGCATATCTTCGGGACCTCCTTTCCCCATATGTGCCCTGCAGAGCCTTTTGCTCCAGTGGCCAACATCTTTTAGTTGTCCCCGGGCCGAAGGACGTCCTGTTAGCCTCAACTGGGGCTGGGGTCTTTTCGGCTCTGGCCCCTGCCTGGTGGAGCAAGCTCCCACTTGAGATCAGGGTCCTGTGGGATCTGTGACAGTTCCTCAGGGCCTGTAAAATGGAGCTGTTCTGTTGGGCTTTTGGTTGAGGCACTGGACATCCTCCAAATCCATCCTTGCCTCCCCTACTGACAGCGCTGATTTTCTTAATCGAGCGAACCACGCAGCGTCGCCACTCTGAAATGCTTCCATCTGAACTTTGTTATCTAGGCAAGCTCGCTCTGGTTTGCTACGTGGTTGATCTTACTGTTAATTTTATTGTTAAAGGTAAAGATAAAGTTCCCTTGCTCGAAAGCCAGTCAAGTCCAACTCTAGGGTTGCGGTGCTCATCTCCGTTTCAAAGCCAAAGAGCCAGCGCTGTCCGAAGACGTTTCCGTGGTCATGTGGCCGGCATGACTAAACTCCAAGGCGCACGGAACGCTGTTACCTTCCCACTGAAGCGGTCCCTATTTATCTACTTGCAATTTCTTGCTTTCGAACTGCTAGGTTGGCAGGAGCTGGAACTAGAGACGGGAGCTCACTCCGTCATGCGGCACCCGGGTCTCGAACTGCTGAACTACCGATCTTCCACAGCCTGCAGTTCAGCGTCTTAACCACTTGAGCCACCGCAGCTCCAAATTTTATTGTTAAACTTCTATTTATTGTTGTTTTGGTCATGAGTTTTGTGTGACTTTGTAACCTGCCCTGAGCCCGCTTGCGGGGAAGGCGGGATAGAAATCAAATAAATAAATAAATAATAAATAAACAAACAACAGGAGTTCCAAGACAGTATTTTCAAACTACAAATACCATTCTTTCTCTTATCATTTTTTTATATTTACTGTTGTTATTAATAGTTCAAGTCGATTCTCAGTTTAAAAACAATTCAGTTTGTCATATGTTCAATAAAAGCGTAGGGGGTTGTGTCCCTGTGCAGATCCATTCCCTCATGCGTGTGCATGTGTCCTCCTCACACTAATAAACCTGTGAGTTAGGATAGGCTGAGGGTGACTCCGGCCCAATGTCACCCAGAGAGTTTCCATGACAGAATGGGAATTCAGACCTGGGCCTCTCAGGGCCTAGTCTTTCACTGGCTGGTTATATCAGATGCAAATGATTTAATATTGTTCCTTATTATATAAATGACAAAAACAGTCCAGTCAAATCTGACTAGATTCTTTATAAGGCCTCTTCCTGTTTAGGATTAAAATGTAATGGCTTCAGACATCATATTACCTGAAGTTTGATGCTTTTGGATATTTAGCTATGCTGCCAAAACTTTAAAGTATTTTATATTGGAGGGGGTGTTATGGTACAATAATTACAGCCTAATACATCCGTGCATGAAGGGCTTAAAAAAAACCCCTAAAATAAACCAAATCCTTCCTAAAAGGCGCCTCACGATAACCATTTTTATAGTTTGACAGTAGGTGCAATTAAGTTTGGAATCCTAGGCATACTTAACTAGAAAGTAGCATCCCTTTGAACTCTGGGATTTACCTTCCTATTAAATATGCTGAGGAGTATGGTTTCCATCTTGTATATCTTTCTCTTAAAAGACATTGAAATTTGTCTTTGGAAAGATAATTGGCTGCACCTCAACAGAATCATTAATAATTTTCATGAGACAGTTTTTAAACAGCTACGTTATTTATGCCAAGCAATTAAGGAGGGATTTTTGCGTGTGTGTGTGTGTGTGTGTGTGAGTCTGGGCAAAGATTGGGTGGAAAGGTGGCATAAATATGTTTTAAATAAATATGTAAATTTTCTTTTGATTTCTGTGGCTGGTAGAGTTCTGTTGTTAGGAAAGACTGAAAGATGGTTAGAAGAACCTGGACAAAAATAAGGAAAACAGCTGGAATGGACTGGATGTATATGGGTTGTGTGTGTGTGTGTGTGTGTGTGTGTGTGTACTATACATTGTCGTACCCTTTGTTTCTTAATCCTTTTATTTGGGGGGGGGGTTGTATTCTTTTGAGAAAATATTATATTGGGCCATTTGTGCTATTGACAAATTTGACATTAAAAGCTAGACTATTTTGTTCTTTTGTTATAGAGTCAGGTCTGAATTTTAATAGTTTTATAAAACTGAAAAATTATACTTCTGTATAGTAAAATGAAAACATTTCAATACATTGCAACTATTTTTCTGTTAGAACAGCCTGTATACCTGTTTGTGGACCTCTGGCGGGGGGACGGGACGAGATTAGAAGCTAGGGAAAAGTTCAATGAAACAGAAGGTATTTCTGTAATACATAAATTAATAGTTGTGCCGTAGACCCATTTCCATTCATTTCTTATGCATCAACAAAAGAGTCTTCTCAATGGTATGACCAGTAATCACAGTATGTTTGCTGAGCCTGTTGGAGGCGGTAGCAGGCTGGGCCTTGGAGTTCCCGAGACTGATAGTACTGGGGGACTATGCCGATGCAGCTACCTCTTCACAGGCTTTGGACCTGGTGTCTTCCATGGCAGTACTAGGACTCTTCCAGATTGTTTCAGTTCCCACACACCAAGCAGGCCGCACACTGGATTTGATCTAGGGCTGCCAAGTGGGGGCGGGTGGTGGGCAAACCCCCCTCTTTGGAGGCCCGATTTCCGCCGCCGTGGAATCGGGCCCTGGGGGAACCCCGCCCCCCGAAGCGCAGCGTGGCTGTGTCACCTAGGTTGCCAAATGGTGCCAGGGGGGCGGGGAATCCCCCGCTTTGACGGCCCGATTTTCGACGCGACAAAAATCGGGCCCTGGGGAAACCCCACCCCCGCGTGCGCGTCACCCGGAAGTGACGTCGCATGCTGGGGGCAGGGCCAAGGCCATTTGAGGGGAAAACAAAGAGTTTTCCCCTCAAATGGCTGTGGCCCCGCCCCAGTGTGTGACGTAACTTCCGGGTGACGCGCACGCGGTGCGCGCGCACACCCAGACGCCGGCTGGGAGCCCCCCGCTCCTGGCCAAAAGAGATTTGGCAACCCTAGCGTCACCAGAGGTGACGCAACCACGTAGAGCACGTTGGGGGCGTGGCCCCGATCGGCAGAGGGGAAACTATGGTTTTCCCTCTGCCGATCGGGGCCACGCCCCAACTTGCTCTATGTCATGCGTCACTTCCTGTGATGTGCAGGCGGCGCGTGCGCACTTTGCGCAAGCGCGTACACATCCCGCAGTGACTCCCGGAGCCCAGGGACAGTCCCCCGCCGGTGAGTATAAATGACTTGGCAACCCTAATTTGATCTTTGGTGTGCGGATGGATATGGATCTGATTGCTAAAGCTGAAGTGCCATGGTCAGATTGCTTTGCTCTGAAGACCTGGCCAAGTATCCCAGCCCCTTCCTGTGTAGGTGGTGAGTAGATTTATGCTTGCCTATGGAGACTAATGGATCCAATTGGGTTTCAGAATGCTCTGCAGAATCTGATGCCCCCCGGTGATTCATTGGATGACCTGATAGGGGACTGTCTCTCTGAAGCCATCAATGAAATTGCTCCCCAACGTCCTCCTGGTCTAAATTATCCCCCTGGTATACTTTGGAGTTATTAGGTCCCCCCCATTATTTACTTCATTCATATCCCACCTTTCTCCCCAATGGGGACCCAAAGCAGTTCGTATCATTCTCCTCCCCTCTATTTAATCTTCACAACAACCCTGCGAGGTAGGCTAGGCAGCGCTTGCGTGACTGGCCCATGGTCACTCAGCAAGCTTCCATGGCAGAGTGGGGATTCAAACCTGGGGTAAAGCTTAGAGTTTCCAGACCCCCGGTCAGGGCAGGATTCCCCCAATTTGGGGGGGCTCCAATCCACTGCCAGCCAGCTGATGATGTCGACGTGGGAGTGGGGGACATGATTGCTCTCTTTAAGTATTTGGGGGGCTGTCGCTTAGAGGAGGGTAGGGAGCTGTTCCTGTTGGTGGCAGAAGATAGGGCTCGCAAGAATGGGTTTAAATTAAGGGTGGGAAGGTACTGGCTGGATATTAGATAATATATTTTTTTTTACAGTAAGAGTTGTTCAACAGTGGAATCAGCTGCCTAGGGAGTGTTGGATTCCCCAAGCATCGAGAATAAATCCACGTTTCAGAAAAGCAAAATTTATTTCAAAGCTTTGGAAAGATACTCAAACAAGTCCTTTGTTAGGAATGGGTACAAACAGCTAGAACAAGCATAATAAAGAGATTCAAACAAGGTACCAACCAATGGA